TTGCATCTCTTACTGATTACTAAGCGACACAATTGTTTTCGAAACCGTAGAAGTATGTGTTAATTACTTTTGATGTAAATATATTTTATATTATGAAATTGTAACTTAGTGCTCAATGTATACCGTAGTAAGGTCCTAGTTTTATTTTGTTAATATATAATCTGCTAGTATGAAGCTATTTTCCTTTGCTGGAATGATTGCTGGTTTTGTTATTGTAGGAATTTGGGGAGGTTTAAGTTATGAAGGAGACTCTGCTGAAATTTTTACAAAATATTTAAGACGTTATAAATTATATATATATATATATATATAAACTACATATCAATAATTCAACTTAATTTCTAGTTAATTAAGGCTTGTGAATGTGAGGTTATCTCATATTCAGTGCCGGTCATACCTTTAATATTGGGGGTGTGACAGATACCTCATGACCAACACTCTAGATCAGATAGTTCAGTTCACTATCCTGCCCTAACAGCTCAAATCCATGCCGAAAATCAACGCTATCTAGGTTGATCGGCACTATTTCCTATTTCCTCCAAATCAACCTTCTCCTGGATGAAATTTGCCCCATTCTTCACCTTCCAATCTTCATCCTTCCCTTCCACAATCTCCTCTTCGAAATCATGATGAAAAGAATTAGCTTCTTCTACAATGAGCATGGCCACTAGTGTAGACATCTTTGACAGTCGCTGAAGAACAAGAGAACACAGACGTCATCTAGATGCCAATCGAGGCTCCTGAGGGGAGAGTCGGAGCTCCCACGCCATCGCGGGGAGAGTCTAAAAGTTGTTTTACTAATATCTTGTGTGTGTAACTTTCCTAAAGTTTTAATGAAGTTAATCTTTTTATCATAAATAAATAAATAACCATAGAAGAGAACCTAATATGTTATGTTCTTTGCTTGACCGGTGGGTTAGTGTTTATACTATGTTCTTTTTTTGGGGGGGGGGAGTTTATACTTTGTTCTTTATTGACATGTTATTCTTCTTCATTTGATTAAATGTTTGTTATTATTTTCTTTGTTTCCAATCCCTTCCCTTGAATATTAATCTTTGTGAATCTAATTAAGAAGGGGGGGGGGTTTTGCCAATGAGATGAACAAGCAAAGCATCCAAAATTTTTTGTACAAGCATCCAATTTTACTTTTTTCAAAAGAGTAAAAAAAGGATCCAAGTTTGTATAAGGAAGAATGACATCAAAGTCTTAAAAGAAAAAATTAATGATAATTAAATTTTGAATTTTTATAAAAAAATAAAGTTATAAATAGTGCTTCAGGTGATTGCAAAACAAGAATTATAATTATAAATTGAGAGTTATATTTAAAATTTAAATATATTATTTGCAAATAAAATTTTTAAATTTATAATTATTTAAATTGATATTTGTAACTTATTTAATCATTTAACCTAAATTAAATTTGTGTATATTCGCATTTTTATGGATATTATTAATTATTTTTAGAAGCCATTTATAAATATTTTTTATATTCTGATTATTTTTAACACTTAAACAGATATTATAAAATTTTTAAAATGACTTTAATATATATATATATATATATATATCTCTCTCAAATAAGCAGGCCATAAATCTGAATTGTTCTTAATCTTTGTTAGAATAGTGGCTATAAGAATGTAAATGTTGTTGAGGCTATAAATTTGCTAACTGGGGGTTGCAATGAGGAGCACCCTTTTAAAGACATCATTACTGACACAAAGATGCTGATTTTATAGAAATTGGAAGTAGATTTCTCTCACATTTTAGGGAAAAGAATTTAATGACGAGTAGTTTAGCTAAAATGTCATATACTACATTTAAGTAACCTATCGTTTTATTCTAAAATTAGCATATGAAACTTACTTTATTCAAAAATAAATATACCATCACAATGCGCGTGCTAAGAAAAGTAATATTATTAGTTTTTGAGCGAAGATAAAAACAGTTAAAAGAAAGGAAAATATTATAAGTAGAGGGAATTTTATAAAGAGAAAGAGACATGGTTAGAAATTTTAAAGTCTGTAAAATTAAAAGTCTTTTAATTTTATAGAATTCAATATGACTCGAGTTGAAATATCTTTTGAAATGCTTGATTACGTTTTTTAATTGTAGTTGAATTACTTTTGTTGTATTTTTTTCTTTTATTTTATTTTTTTCTTTTATTTCTAACTTTATGGCATTCTTAATTGTTTCATTTTTTTTTCTTTGTTTACTTTTAATTTTGTGACATTTTTATTCTTTTTTTTCCATTTTATCCTTTTTTCATCTTTTCTCTAGTGACATTTTTTTTTTCTTTGATCACATTTGTCTTTCACCTATCTTGTCTTGCTTTTGCTTTTCTCTTTTCTTTTTCTTTTGCTTTATTTTTCTTAGCTGGCAACCAATGGATATTCTTCAAAATGAATTCAAATATATTTTCATCTTCTATTTTTTGAATAAAGGACCTTACATTTGATGCTGCTTGCGTGGCTTAAGAGGCCACTTCTTAGATAAGAGAGGCTCATTCATCTTTATTTTTTATTGTTGTCAATTATGTCATTAATTTATTCTTTCCAGCCATACAGGAAGTTGCTTGTGATGCTTCTTTCTTATTTGTTAATAAGATATCAAATTATAATGAATGAAGAAAAGATAAGGATTTTATGAAATTATTTTTAGCTTTGGATAATCATATCTAATTTTTTTCAACCTAAAGTTAATAATACATCATTTAAACTGATACATTGGCAAAAAAAAAAAAAAACTAGTACAATTTTGAACAAATAGCTTCTCCATCGTTAATTAACCCATATTTTACTAACAGAATAAACATACAGTACAGAGGGTTTGAGTTTTAAAATTTAAAATGTTAACAAAATTTTAGAAGATACATAATCCAAAATTTAAAAACGCTAAGTAAATAAAACTATTTCTTAAAAAAATTTATCAGAGCTGACCTATCATATCTTCTTAATAAAATAACAACTTAATACAACTAACTATAATAAAATTGTCCGAATAAGTCTATAACTATCAGATATTTAACACACTTTATTGTTTAATTTTAACATTAGGATTAAAAAATAATATCCAATATTAAAAGAATCATAATAAAAAATTAAATCGAGGATTTTTTTCAGTAACAACAAAGAGTGAAGTGTAAAGTAGGCCTGTTTTAATTGGACACTCAACCATTTAACAAGAGCACATATATTTCGATTAGCATTTGTAAAATTGAAAATTTCATAAATTGTAGTTTGAAAGCAGAAACTAGAATAAAAATCAATTAAAGTAATGAAATTTATATCCATATATAAAAAGCTCAAGTCATAGTTTTTTTTTCCCTGGCCGAAATACTCAAATCATAGTTTACTATAAGTAACCAAAAAGTTGCTGCTCATTTTCACCAAGGTCAAATAAATTGTGATTGGTATAAAACTAATCTAAATAAAAAAAATTGTTGAAACCCATTTTTTTTGAGCATATAATAATTTGAATCCATTCATTGTTTATAATTAGGTCATAAGACAATTTGACTCTTAAATTATGGGTTTATAAATATTTGAGCTTTTAAATTTATTTTTTTATATAATGTTTATCTTCAATTTTTAAAAAGAGTGTAATTTGACTCTTACTGTTAAGAAAAGTCAACTTTAATCATTAGCATATCACAAAAAAATAAAAAAAATTAAAAATTAAAAAAAGATAAAAAATTATTATAAAGTGGCAAAAAATTACAGACATTGATAAAAAAATATATAAAATGATTAAGGAAATTTTATTGATCATTTTTTTAAAATTTTGACATTATTTTTTGATCAAATTATTGTCAAAGTTACTTCTCTAATCCTATTTATAGAGTAAAGAGAGAAAGAATTTAATTCTATTTATAGGACACTTGTCAATTTTTAATATTCCTTTTCACATTTTAGCTTTTATTAAATGTTTTAAATAAAAATACATATTTAAAAATATTCATTACAAGTAAAGGTCAAAATTTATTAAATTTTAAAATAAAATTAATAAAATTTAATTTTGATAAAATATATTAAAAATAATTTATAAATAAAATTAAACGAAGTAATTTTTTATTAATTGTAAGAGTTAGATTGTAGTAATATTTTTAAAAATTAAAAAAATATTATATAAAAAATGAGTTTAAAATTTCAAACGTCTTCTAAACTTATAAATTAAAATTTAATTTGTTCATTTATTTTTTATAATTTTAAAATATTTTATTATTTAATTTTGCGTTTAAAACTTAAAAACCAAAAAAATGACTTTATTTTTGATTTAATTAACTTTTTGACAAACGCAAACCGTGGTGGTCCACGTCACATCAGATTCTAGAGACAAGGGGCATGTCACGTGTGTCCTCGTGTTAGCTGGTTGGCGTGATTCCGGGGGAAAGAATGGAAGAATAGCGAGGATAAGCATCGGCTATGGAATGGAAAATGACGTTTGAGGACCAGTATAAAGAAAAATAATTATACTTATTCAAAAAATCACAAAATTTCAATTGCCTCGAAAATCTCAATATTGTTATTGGAGGGTCATGAAACGTCATTTTCTCTCAAAGAAAAAAGGTTCGGCTTCCCCTAAAGTCAATAATTAAACCCTCCCCCTACTTTTTTTATCAAGAAATATTCTCTCCCATTTTTATCTTTAAACACTTTTTAAAAATAATTTTTAATTTAAAATATAAAGTACTATATAATAAAGAAATTATTTTTTTAATTTTATTTTTTTAATTAATGTAAAGTTATTTAATATAATATGTCATAATTTAAAATTTAAAATAAAAATGAAACTATATCTCCAATAAGAAATTAAAACCCTAGTGTTGGTGGTGATTATCTTCATTAAAAAAAGCCAAATAAAATAAAATAATATCTGTTGACAAATGACAAATTAAAACCCTAGTTTTCTCTCTCTACATTGATTCCATTTCTCGCTCCTCTTCTGTCAGCCACTTGTTTATATTTGATGTTTGCATCCATGTTCTCATCAACCCCCGCTTCCTTTCCTCGAAGTTGCAGAGCTTGACCAAAAAATTCCTTCCAACCTTTTCTTTTCTTGTGGGTAATTCTTGTCTTCGTCGGCGTCGCCTTCTTCTTCTTCGTCTTTAATCTCAATGGGATCGGAAATTCCCTAATTTTTATGCTTTGTTTCTCATAGCTTGTGATTTTAGGTATTTTTTGTTGAATAACCATCGTACTAAGTTGTGTCTCCGTTTTTTTGCTCTCCTCTTCTATTTTGTTTGTAAGTGTAGATTTGATTTCGTCTCTTTCGGGAGGTTTTTCATGTTCTCCGCACTGCTGTTATTGGGGGTCCCTTATGTGTTTTTGTTCTCCTCCTTCACGGATTTTGTTTGTGACTTTGGTTTTACAATTCTTTGGGGTTTCGCAAGATTTGATGGAGTTCAGTGATATCCAGATCGTTTTCCCCCTTTTGGTGGTGATTTGATGTTTTTAATTACTTTCTAGTCTCCTGAGGAAAACTTTACTCTTTTCTTAGTCAGTTTGATATTCTCCTTGAATTCGTGTTCAATTTACTCTGCATGCACGGTCTTAAGATTCTTCAGGGTGTAAGTATTCACTGATCTGGCGGTTTGTTTTGATTGTGTGGTCGGTTAGTTTCGGATCTAATAGATTTTGCTTTCATTCCTGCTCTTAGACTCTTAGATTTGTCGGTGCTGTACTTGACTTGCTGTCAATGTTCTGTTTGGTGTTGATTTTTCAGTGTTGCGGTTTTCTGATACTGCGGTTTTATGTTTTGTGTTTTGCAGGTTGAGACTACCGATCTGTTATTTTCGCACTTTGAAGTGTGACTAACACCTCGAAAATAAAATTAAGTTGTCTAGGAGGAGCTTTTGGAAGAAAGATATGTCTAGCAACGTTATATTCAGTTCAGAATACTAATCTACTTGAAAACTTGTATTGAAAGTTGCTTTCGCTTTTGATTTATAATATTGCCCCTAGAAAGAGGGGTTGTGGCATTTGGGCAAGCTTTGGAATCATGCCTGTTTCAGGACGTGAAGAGGTGTTTATTTCCTTTCTGATTTACAGCTAACTACGATTAGAGAACCATGCCAATTTGTTCCTTTTTGGATATTGATTTACTTGATCTTCTATTGACAGACTGGGGTTAAATCCTATGACGGGCAGTTTAGTGGTTTAATTGCAGCTGTGCCTATCAAGAAAAGGAGGTTCCCTTTGATTCCAACATTTTCACCTTTGTCTGGAGAACAAGATTCACTCACTGAAGAAAATGAAAATGAATCTCTACGGAAAGAACATTCAAGCACTCCTCAAGGATCAACCGTTTCAAATGCTAGTGTTGCAGACGCACCAATCAAGAAAAGAAGGCTCCCCTCGGTTCAAGCTTCATCTTCTTCGGAAGAACTTTCTTCACTACCAGAAGAAAACAATGCATCTCATAGGGAAAATTCGAGCACAACACTGGTTTCAACCCTTTCTATCAATTCTGCTGTGTTATTTGATACCAATAATAACCCTGCATTTGTAGGAAAGAATATAACTTCTGAGGTTACAACTTCTAACCTTGCCCAAAGCAATTCCAATTATGTTAGCCCCAAAATTGAGGAACCAGATCTTGCGTCGCACTCAAGAGCATTGGATGATGCAAGCGGCAAAGAGAAGTTGATTGCTAGTGAAAGTTATGAAAAAAAATCGGGACCCCAAGTGAAGAAGGAGAATTCAGAACTCTTGTTGGCTGCTAAAGAAAGTCTTGCACTAAATATAGGATCCAAGATTAGCAAGCGAAGTGTTGAAGAGAAAGATAAACAGGAGAGTTGTGCCAGCACTAATTTATCTTTAGGTTTTAAGGAGCACTTATCTCCAGCTGTGCCTAGCCTTGATATTGGTGAGAGATTCCAGAAAACTCAGAAAGCAGGGTCTGTTTCACTGAAGTTATCTCTGAGCAAGGAAGAAAGTAGTTCAAAGAGTTGTAGTGATGATGCTAGAACTAGTAGGGCAAACTGGGATCTGAATACTACAATGGATGCATGGGAAGAACCTGGGAGTGATGCTCCTTTAGGTAAAACATGTACTTCAGGTAAAACATCTACTTCTGCCTGTGGGCTGCAAATTGCTGGCAAGGCACCTAATGATAATAATGTTATGTGTTCCCCTGGGATGGAACCCACTGGCAGTGCTTCCATAAAGCACACCACTGCAGAGAATCGAAACAAAGCTTTCGTGATTTCATCCAGACAGTATGGCCAAGAGTATGAAAATGTCAACCCTCGTAACATTTGCGTTGCCTCATGTCTTCAGAAATACACTGGAGAACCTTCTAGATTATCTGTTAAAGAAAAAACAGACCTTCTCTTTCCTACTTTGAGCTTGTCAAATGCTTCAGCCTCTGCTGTTGATGGAAACAAAAGTAGTGTTATGATAGTAAAATCAGAGCCATTAGATGAGAACTTGAAACAGGACTCAAAGGAGGCTAAGCCTAGTCCTGTGGGATCATTAGATGGAGTCACTGTTAAACATGAATTGGTTGAGCGTTCCAGTGTTGATTATATCAAGACGACTTCTAAAGGTAGCAATCTTAAGTTACTCGATCCTAAATTTGTTAAATATGAACCTGGTCATTCAAATAATCAGGGAAGACCCATGATGATGGAGAATGTATCAGATCAAATGGGGGCAGGGTCGCTACAGGGATCAGATAACCATTATTCCTTAGAAAAGTCAGTGACTTTAGAATCAGCGCCATTTTCTGCAGGGACCGCTTGTCCTCCAGTGGAAGGCATATCTTCAGAACAGTTGACTACCAGTGCAAGTATGGTTAGCCATCAAGAAAATCACGCTTCTATAGATGAAGCCTATATTGATGAAAAAACATCTGAGGGAGATTGTTCAGGTGACAAGGAGGCTCCTCCAGAAACAGTTGCCACAGCCATGGTTGATAATGCAGAATTAAGTGGTCCTGCCGTGAAGGATTGTGCAAGAGGTGGTGAGGAAAAAGTAGATGATGCTGAGGGATGCCGGTTGAAACTCATGAATGAGCACCCCTTAGATACACGGTGCAGTGGTGAAGATGGTGTTAGTGATGATGAAAAGATAACCTTATCAGCTGATATGCTAGAGGATGATTCTTATGGTTATGATTATGAATCGGATGGCACTCATTCTTTAACTGTTGCCATGGATGTAGATCAGCGTGGTGAAGAGGATGATGATTATGAAGATGGTGAGGTACGTGAACCATTAAAGCATTCTGTAGCAGAAGAATCTGTTTGTGAGGTAAGAGAAGTAGAACGTGTTGTTTCTAGTCATTGTGATGATGGCAAGCAGATTGAGAAAGAAGTGTTAGGTGGTGATTGCCCCACCTCATCTTGTATTGATGAGGATGACAATAGGACTGTTACTCGTACCAAAATAAATTGTGGTAAAGAAGGTATTGACGATGAATCAATCAATATGTCTCATAATGTTACTGACAAAACTGTGTGTCTGCAAGAGTCATTGGAAGCTGAAAACCCAAATGTTGGCCCTCAAATAAGGTCGTTAGATTATTCTGAAAGGAATAAAGCGCTTAATGCCAGAGAGACCAAATTAGTATCTGAAGACAATAATGGAAGCAATGAAGTAGATGTTGCTCAGTGTGCTGATGAGGTTGTCAAGAACCTGGACATGGTTAGAACTGACTTAGATTTGCCAAAGATGGAAGTATCTGTAGATATTGATAATGCTAGCAAGGATGTTAGTGATAGTGGTAATCAAGGAAGAATTATAAATTTGGCCCAAGCTGCTAGTCCTTTATCCCCTACTAAATCCAGGTCCATACCAGGCAGGGCACTGCCATCTCAAGCTGGGAGGGATGCGTTACCTGACGCATTTCATAATGAGAATTTACATGGAGGAAGGTATAGGCGTATATCCTTTTGTCTTTCTTCCTTATACATTGTTAGTTGAATCCCTTTACTAATACTTTTGCCTTCTTCCTTTTCTTAAGACTATTAATAGTTAATGTTTTTCCTGACACTTTTGCCTTACTCTTTTTCTTAACACTTCTGCGTTTCTGTTTTGATTTTCAGAGATGATATTTACATTGATGGTCCTTGCAAATTTTCAAGAGAGAGGTATCAAGATATTTCACCTAGAAACTCAAGACTAAGTTTTGTGCGTGGTAGAGGGAGGATTAATAGCCGGATAGACACATGTCGAGGTGAATGGAAATCTGACCGTGACTTTGCTGGTGAATTTTATAATGGTCCAAGTCATTTTCGTGGTCCTAGGAATAAATTTGTATCTGCTGTTCATGATGCTGAATCAGAGTACAATAATGTTACGCATGATGGTTCGTTTGTTGGTAACAATCGGTTGGGTAGGAAGCCCTTGAATGATGACAGACCAGTCGGTCGTCATATTACACTGAGGAGACGGTCTCCAGGGGCGAGAGAGAGCTTGCAAATGGGGCATAGAATTCCTAGAACTATGAGCCCAAGTAGATGTGTTGGAGACGATGGTTCTGAGTTTGTTAATATGAGGCATGGTGAGAAGTTTTTGAGAGGTTACCCTCAGGATACTATGGATCCTATGTTTTCACGTCCCCCACCATTTGAGAGAGGAGATGGTCGATTTACACGGGGAACAAGAAGCTTCATTCAGAGAAGGGGTCCTCCTCGAATTCATTCCAAGTCTCCAATTAGATCTACGAGTCGCTCACCTGGTCCATGGTCATCCTCCCGAAGAAGATCTCCTAGAGGATCACCAGATGGGTTTGGCGGACATCCTGAATTGGCCCACCGACGATACAGAGTTGACAGAATGAGATCCCCTGATGGTCCAATTTTCTCTGGGGAGAGAAGAGTGGTCAGGAGGCATGTCTCTCCATATATGTCTCGTCCTTCTAATGATACGAGGGATTTTGATTCTGGAAGGGGTCGCGGGCATCCCAGGTCTATCATATCTAACAGGGGTACATCTGGTCGAATCATGTTTAGAAACAGAAGATTTGATGCTGTAGATCCCCAAGATCGGCCAGATAATGATGAGTACTTTGGAGGTCCTATGCATTCTGGTCGACAATTTGAACTAAATGGTGAAGGCAATGGTGATGAGAGGAGAAGGTTTGGCGAGAGACAAGGACCAGTTAGATCATTTAGGCCTCCTTATAATGGTGGTGTTAGTGAGAATTTTGATCTTGATGCAGAGGATGGGCCTAGAAACTACAGATTTTGTGCAGCTGATTCAGAGTTCCAAGAAAGAAGCAATTTGAGAGAGAGGGATTTTGACAGGCGTGTCAAGAACAGGCCAGCAAATATGCCCCCTAGAAGAGCAAGAAATATAGATGAGCAGGAAGCAAATTACAGGAATAGTGGACAGGAGGTTTGGAGTGATGACGGCTTTGATGATATTTCAAGAGTGAAGAGAAAAAGATTTTAGTTGTGTCGCTAGAAAGTCTACAATTCAGGTCAAAAAAGAAAAAGAAGCTAGAAAGTCTGCCGCTTAATGCTGCAGGATAGGTGGAAAATCTGTACTGCAAATTTTCGTCTAGAAAAGTATATTAGATTAATTTTGATTTATAAATATTATCCTATGTTTGAAGACTTGATGTGTGACTAATTCAAGCGAAAGGGCAGAATTATTATCGCTGCATTGGGGATATAATTTTTTCCAAAGTATCTGTCTTTCTGAGAAATGGGGACTGGTACTTTTTTGGGATATTAATGGATGATTGTTATTATAATTACTTTTGCAGATTTTCTTACCATAGTTCATCAGTATGCCTCAATTTCTGATTAATGGTTACATTCACATCAAGTTGCAAAAAGCTCTTGGAAAACTTTTTGTTAATGGCAGTTCAGTGATTCCATGCTTCCAGCGACACATCGAAGGCAGAACGGCTTGGTTTTTTCTTTTTTTCTTTTTGGGTTAAATAATGTCAAGTGCACGTTGGCTTGATGGCTCTAGTCCGATAATTTAATTTCTGATGAATCATAAACTATGAAAATTGGCACTCAACAGTCAGCAGGTTGGTGGGATTTTTTTTTTTTCAGAGCTCCTATTTTCTTTGTAATATCATCTGGAAAAGCTTCATGCCAGATGGTGAAGTCAGATAGAAACCATGTGGAAGACCTCCTGTTGCCTTGTTGCTTTCATTTGCAGTAAGAGACCAAACCTGATTGATGGGCCGTGAAGGTTAGTTTGGTCATTGGATTGAAGAAAGTGATGGGATCAATGCTCTTTTGTCTTTTTCTCCATTTTCTATTCAAATGGAGTGGTCAAAAGGCTGGGTTATAATATGAGAAAAAAATTAAGGGAGAATCGCACTGCATACCCCAAAAAAAAAAAAAAAAGCATTTTGAGCCTAATAACTTTTGATAATGCACTATAAATTTAAAGGTCTTTATTACAATTTTTTTTAAAAGTAAAAGTACAACTTTGCTCTTGTATAATTTAAAAACTCAGAATTTGTGTGAAACCCTTATCTACGAAGCATAATACAATATTCATGAATTATCAACATGATATATACAAATTCTCAACACAATGTTTATAAATTATCAATATAATGTTTATGCGTGTCCAGTTGATTTGTAAGTGAATTAAAATAGATAAGTCACACAAAATATATACAATACTATGTTTATGAATACACAACACGATGTTTATGCATTTTTAATGCAATGTTTATGTGTGTTCTGTAACATCTTAAATTTTTTAATCTTGAGATTAGTGGTTAATCGAGGGTAAGGTAGTAATTATCATGGGATCAGAGATTTAGATGATTACTTGATAATTTGACTTGTTGGTGTGTTGTATGAGCAAATATGAGTGAAATGAGTGCATTTTAGGTCGAAGCAAGTACGTGTGGTGAAAAAAAATCTCACTGTGCCATGCGCTGCGGGTTGTGCTGCATGTGTTGCGGCACATGGACCAAAAATTACCTTCATAAGTTGTGAAATTTTAAAAATTTCAGAAGAGTAAAATTTGAAAACATACGAGAGAGGGAGAGAAGAAGGGCTGAGAAGCTAGGACAAGCTATTTTAGGCCATTGAAAGGTGCTTCTAATCGATTACTTGTCAGGTAAACAATGTATAACTCTTACATTTCATTCTACACAAATTTTTCTAAAAATGTATAGGAAAATTGAATCGGTGAAATTTGAGGGGTTTGATTATTGTCCAATAGTAATAAAAAAGTTCTCGATAGTTAAATTAGAGCTTTGCGATTGATTTAAAGCTGAATGGTAGAGCTTTAAACCTATAGGCTCAATTTTAGCTCTAAAGAGAGAAATGTTAAGGCAAAAATGGTGTTTGAGTGAAATAAGACCGACTGAGGTGATGTAAAGTAGTAATTGGGTAATGATGGACCTAAAATAGATAAATAGAAAAGAATTTATGAATGAATATAGCCCTAAGTAGTAAATATGAGTTTTTGGTCAAAATGGACCAGATGACTAAAACGTGCCAAATGTGTTCAAATTGGCATATTGAACATGTGAGTAGAGAAAGAAAGCTTGAGATAAGCTATTGTGAAAGTTGAAATCTACAGGTAGCCTTTCTAGTGATAAAAGGGTTGAGGTAATCAAATAATTTTTTTTTGATTGTTTATTGCAATTGTATATTAGTATGTTATGTAGTACATAAACTTATTTTGAATTAAGCATGATTTATAACATTGTGTGAATGTTGCATGAAAAAGCTTTTGATTGAAATAAAGCATTGAAATGGGTGTTTTCAAATAGTATGTTAATATATATGTTATGTTTGAGAAAATGAGTAAAATGATAAATGAGAACCTTAAATGGTTCGAAAAACATAATCATAGGGGTGGGAGTTCACCCGAGTGGAAAGGTGATAATAAAGACCATATGGCAAGGTTTCTTTAGTACCCAACAAGGTGCTGGAAACAATTCTCCTTAGTGCCTTGCAAAGTGCGGTGTTAGAGAAGATCTCCTTAATGCCTATTGAAGTGTAGTGTTGGGGATGAGACTCCTTAATATTTATATGATATGATGTTGGAATCAATAACACCCCATTATATGCATTGGGGTAAAACCATATTCCGTATATGTGTTAGAATATTTTTAGCTGGATGATTCTACCACTGCAAGTGAGCTCAAGGCCAACAAGAGTGTACATTGGTCCAAGGCGAGCCTATGGCTTTGTGTCGGGGTGATTTGGAGGTTCGGTTAGTAGTGATCATACTATGAGATGTTATAAAATGATATGTAAAAATGGTGAAAGGCAAGAAATGAAATATGTGATATAAATGTTATTTTTAATGAGATTTAAATGATATACTATACTTCACTTTCATATTATTTCATGTGATAATTAATAGGAGTAAGTTATTTTGTTATTCAGATTTTTATCTCGCCCCTGTGGTCACATGTTTATAGGACTGGGCAGTGATCAGGGCAAGAAAAGAGAGTCTGGACTGACTTGAGTTGTGAAGCCGTGTATACTTAGAGTTGTGTAATGAACTGAGCTAAGAATTTGTGTATATATATGTATATAAGTTGTCATAAGATTGCATGCATATTTTGGGTAGTGAATTGTTGAAATTACAACCTAATTATGGATATTTGTGAAGAAATGAATCAAGGAGCTATGATTTAGTTATATTTGTGTGAATTTGTTGATTATTGGTGAATCTTAAGTTCAAGAGAGAAATTATGATAAAATGAATAATTTGGGGTTAATATTGAGTAATACATGTGTTGTAATGTGAATGTATAAGATTATGTTAAGAAAAAAGCCAAGTGGCCTATGTTATGCCAAGCAATGACAAGTTGTGCAAAGTTAGAAAATGTGAAAATTGGCCGTAGAAGGGTCAAATTTCAATATGTAACACCCTCAGATTTACATACTGATTTTTCGCAAATTATTAATTCAACAACTCATTTTTTTTCCATTGAACCTTTATCATACCCTTATCATGGTAAAAAAATTTCTACCATGATACATCCAAGACAATATACCACAGGTCTTAAAATATTTCAAAAAGCAATTAGAACCATGAGGGACAGACATGATCCTCATAGCATGTTATTCAAATCAGGTTATAAATTAAAAGGGACAGACATAATCCTCTTGAACATATAAATGCATTTAATAAAAAGGATTAGAGTTTACATGCTCCACAAAGAAGATATATCCTAAGTTGGCAGAAGATACATTGTATAATCCAAAATAAGAGGCAACGTAAAAGATGGTGTCTCATACACCATAATTACACCTCTGGTGCTTTCTCGGCCGGACTCGCTCCTGTAAAAATATTAACCACGGGGAATGAGACTTAAAAGTCCCAGTAACCAAAAATTAATATGTAATGATGCATGCGGATGTAACTAATCATGCGATTGCTAAGTGGGCACACAAAACATTTAACCAAACAATACTTTCAAACAAACCGAACAAGTATTTAATTTGCATGACTGCACCTTATATCCTCCTTTCGCCATGCTCGGACGCCAAATCACCCGGCCAAAGGTGAGTTGGACCAAGCGACACGCCACTCATTGGGTCCAATGAGGGCTTACCACGTGGTAATAATTAACCGAACAGAAATTCCCATTAACACCATACATTAAAATACCCTGACAAGTCATGCATCATTCAAATATCCAAACAGGAATATATCCGAACAATAATATCTCATCATGATAAACAAAAATAAATTTTTTAACCCACTTGGCAATAATTTCAAACAAGTATATACAGTATTTATTTTCAATAATTCATAATTTTTCCAAACAATAAAACAACACATAACCATTCACAAACACACCCATCACAACACATTAATAATGGTTACCTTGTGTCTTGAATAACAAGTTCCCCTTCACAACTCCTTTTTCACCACTATCTTTGTCAATATAATCTACATAATTATTTCACAATACTATATATTAATTTTACATTAAAATAAATAACTCTAATTTAAATAGTTAGAAAGTCTTAGATCTATAATCCATATTAACACTAATTTAAGATTTATGCCTCATTTAACTTCCCAAATTCTTTTCTAAAATTCTCGTACCCTAATAAACTATTTTTTTTATCCTCAAATCACTTCTAGTATCACAATTTCATCCTTCTATATTCTAAAAATTCGTCCAAAAATAAATTAAATTTTAAAATTATCCTGAAGCCTTAAATCACCTTTCTATAACCTCAAAAATACCTATTCATACTTAAATAAATATTTAATAATCATAGATTTATCCCTACATCTCAGATTCCACATAAATTCAACCATATAGATCTAGATTTTAACTCAAAAATTATTAAACATGAGTTTCAACCTCAAGAAAATATTCTATAATATTTATTATATCCCTAAGAGTTTTAACCTATACTTTTAATCTATCATATCATCAGATTAACTATCCTATAGAAAAATCTTAATCAAAATATTTACTCTATCCTACAAAATAATCATATCACTAGAAAGCTAATATTATTTAGAAAATAACTATAAAATTAATTTTGTAATTAAATAAATTTTTAAATGCTAATCTAAACAGGAAAGTTAGAACATACCTGAAGAAAAAGAAAATAATCCCCCCTTGCGAGAAAACGCTGAGCAACGTGAGAGGAAGAGAGAAAAATAATATAAAAATGGGATTGTGAGTCCCAAAATTATATTAAAAAAAACTATAGGTTTGAATTTAATTATTCAAACCTTTGGGCCAAAAGTTGCAATTTCCTCTAAATTGCATCTTAGCCTCTCATGCTTCCTAATGCACACACCCCCTCCTTTTTATACA